TGTTTTAGGATTGGAAGATAGAACTACCCTACCTGCTGGAAATCATTTCTGAAAAGACAAATGATGGTGATGACATGCAACAAATAGCAGAAGAAAAGATCAAAGCAGTTTATGGAGCAGATGCACTACAGAAAAGCATTGGTCAACTGATGGGATCCAAAAACATTCCAGAAATCCCAGACTCTCCTAAGAAAGTTGTCTCTTTCAATGTAAGTAAAGTTCTTTGTTTATGCAATTTCTCAATCTTTTTATTCTCTAGTATTCTTCAGAAGCAATTTTGTTCAGTGTAGAAATAAAGTTCATGTGTTCATGATTTCTGGTTTGTATAGACTTCAAGTAAACATTTTATCTGAATACCAGTAATTCTCTCCTGCAGGCATCAAGGCTTGGTAAAGAGATAAGCTGCTACATTCGCAGTGACCACAAGGGCCAGACACAGTACTGGCCTTTCGTAAAGAGAGTAACAATTTATGTACCTCACTCTTCGGCTCTTCTGGAACGCATAGTGCTGGTGGACCTTCCTGGAGCTGGAGACGCCAATAAAATCAGAGATGAGATGTGGAAAATGGTAATACTGATGTTGCAGTGTTCATGGATTTGTGTAGTTCTTTGCCTAACATGACTTGTGGTGTTATCAAGTGAGTAATGAGCAGGCTTGCACTTGAGGTTTGAGCACTTTACCTCAGGACAGGTTTAAAATCCTACAAAGTAAAATGTGCTGACAAGCTGTTCCAGTTTTCCACAGTAACCATGTTCGTTTTCAGTTAGATATAGCTGCTGTGAGTTCATGAAAAGGAAAGTTTTTAATTACTTGTTCTTTTTAGAACAAAAGCTGTTGGCACATCCAGTAAACCAAGCTGAGTAACCACAGACATAAACTGTACCTACACTGTGGTGTTGTGGCTAGCTAGGAAATGAAGAAGCTCAGTCTGTAGTGAGGATTGAGAATTTGTCTAAGTCAAAAGCCAGGAGGAAACAGGGAGGTAACAAGCCATAATAACAATAAACTTTATATAGCGCCTTTAAAGGTGGCTTCTCAAAGCGCTTTACAGAATGACAACAGGAACATCAATAGTTAAAAATAAACAATAAAAAATACACAAGATAAACCCGATGAGAAGGCGCTCAGCAGACACTAGACGGTGGCACTAAATACAGTAGGAGCAGAGGGATAAAGAATGGAACCAGTTAAGGAAAGGCTCTTCTAAAGAACAAGGTGTTGAGTCTGGATTTGACTCCAGAAATATGACTTTCTGATATCGTTGGGCAGAGAGATTGGGGGCGTAACAGGAGAAGGCCCTGTTACCCAAGAGTATAGACAGGCTTGGGGGACTGTTAGGAGACCAGAATTAAAATACCAAAGGTTGCAAGATGGGGAGTAGGGCAATAATAGTTCAGACAGGTTCTGAGGTCCCAAGCCACGCAGAGCCTTATAGATGAACATGAGGATTTTGAAGTCGAGGGAATCTGACAGACAGGTTGAAGAGATGAGCAAGGGCCAGAGCCAAGGAGTGATCTTGGAGAGACAAGGAAAATTAGCAAGCAGTCGTCAGTGTACTGAAAAAAGCAGAGCTAAAAGAAAAAGCAAGGAAAGCATAGTGTGGGAAACACAGTTATGTGGGGTGTGTTTGGCAGGGAGGCAGAGCCCTCAATAGAGTGCTATGTGTCACTATAATATGCGACCACAGCTGAATAGTGCTTTGAATTAAAGAGATTCAGCTAGGGGCGTAACTATAAGACCAAGCTGGCCGGAAAGAGATCTAGCCAGCACATGAGTCCTGAGCTAGCTTCATAGCAGAGACGAGATGAGGTCTCCCATTAACATACATGCAACGCCATGGCAGTGAGAGTTGCTGGGACGAAGCTGTGACAGCACAGAGTGTGAGACACTGCTAATAATAGGAGTAGGACACAACATGTGAGAGCAGACTAGCAGCAGCAGCTTGAGAAACTCCAGTGGAGAGAAATGGGAGCTACAATCTTGGAAGAGATTGTGAAGAAAATGCTCCAGAGGAGACAGGATGATGGCAGCAGTTCCAGAGGGAATTGTGTGATTTAAAAGATCTATTGCTTTAAAGGGATGACAACCTTTTTGAAAGTGTAGGGACAGAACTGCACGGGGAGTCTGACGAGCGAGAGTAGTGTGACTTAGTTTTTATGTGAATTAGTGTGTTAGTGTGTGTACTGCAGTGTCATGTGTAGCTGAGGTTCCCTCCCCCTGGCAACGCATGGTGTCGGGGGAGAACAAAGGGTCTTTTTGGATATTAGTGACTGGTGGTTTGCATGCCGTGACAACATAGCACCCCGATGCTGTATGTCGGGGGCAAGGCAGTATTGACTGGGCATGAGAGAATGGTGTGCCAGCAGCCAGCTGTGACAAGAGAAATAAAAAGAGTGAAAAAGTTCCCCAACAGGCTGTGGGGAGCAACAGAAATGCCTGTTTCATATCCATAGTGGAGGCCACAACACCAGTGGCGTCACGATGAGAGCAAGACTCGAGAGCCTCAGGGCTGAAGGTCAGTGGCAGAATCACAAGCTCTGTCGGATTTCACTGTTCATTCCGAAGAACACCTGGAATGAGCCTGGTCATAAATCGACTCCAGATGCTCCTAGTATCCAGGTGATAAGTTTCAAGTGCAACCAGCTTGGACTCACCCCACAGAGCAGCAGCAGGGTTGAACACAACAACAAACCCAGGAAAATTGTTCTAAAATGATCAGAGCTCAAAAATGATCAGAGTGTTACTTTTAAACTTTTGATTAAGCGTATTTGATACAGAAAGTCTCTCAAAGAAACTCAATTAAGTACAGTTTATATTTCTGCTTGCAAACATAGCCACTGTCCATTTTATATTTTATACTTGCACAAATTAATCAATATTGACTCGTATTTGTTTTGTTCTACAGTATCTTAGTAAATGTTCTTCAGTCTGGATTGTTAATGAAA